TTTGAGGACTGTCTTATCCTGGGTTTCACTTCACTAATAGAGACCGAGCCTGAAGAGCTCAGCTTGTGAATACGATCATTCCTGACTTTCAGTTCTCTATTCTCTGTCATTCTGTTCGAAATTTGTCCCCCTATTCTTCCTCCTTGCTTCATTAAGAGATTTTATATTTATTATTCCGTTGTTAAAAACAACACTTTTGATAAGCTCCTCCTTGAGAGAAAAAAACATGGCCTCCTCAAACACTTCATCAGGATTTACTGATTTTTAAGTGCAGGAAATTAAATAAAATTGGCACCATTTGGTTGACCTCTGCATGGGAACAGTCAGACGAAGAGTGGGACATGTGTGTTTTTTAAAGGGTCCAGGCCACAGAACCTGGTTTAGGGAAGGTTTGCTACAGGAGAAGGCCAAGTTTACGGTTATGGGAGTTTGACTCAAAGTATGAGGAGGAAGATGAGCTAAATCTTGAGACTGCTGACTCAAAAGGAAAAAGCTATACTGGATTCCCCCAAACTTGGGCTGTTTGGTTAGCACATCACAGAGGTGGTGAGCAGTTTCTGAAAGTGTGAAGCCAATATCCCACCTCTGAGGAGAACGAGGTAGCTGGTCCCTTCCACATAAAACATCAGAATTCCTATCCTGATGTCTAGACAACTTCTCCCACCTCTCCCTTAATGACTCCTTCTTCCATCCTCAGTTTACAATGATACAGTCCTCTTTCCCACTGGCACTGCACAACCAGATCCACACACACATATATATGTCAAATCTGAATCCTCACAAAAGCTTCACAGCTGGGTATGTGTCCCATACTGTAAGAATGGGAGCCTCTGGAGACACTCACGGAAAGGATACAAATGGTTAAGTCCAGAAGGAAATAGGCTAAGGAAAATACTGCCGTAAAGATTTAGAAAAAGAGAAAGATTATAGACCACACCCACCATAAGCACAAGCCTGTTTATCAGTCCAAGCAGAACACAATAAATAAAGCCAGAGTCCATTTTCTCTCCACCTTTTGGGACAGGCTTTTAGAGCTAAGGCAGATGGAAGAAATGTATAATTTCTACCCATCTGCCCCATTAAAAATAGACATCTAGTCTTAAGAGAGATGGCCATTTTGGTGTAACATTCACAAGTATTCCGTTGTCCAAAAAGTTGTACCAAAGTTATGTCTTCTAATTCAAAACTGGCCTTTCAAAAGTCTAAAAAAGTATATGCCACGCTTGCTTGGAATTAGTTAAATACTTATCTGGACAGCCACCAGAGATCAAGTAAATTCTCCTTCTGAATTCTGGCTTTCCTTGCTAGCATTAAGCTCGTTTATGAATGCCACGCAGGAAAAGCAGGAGAGTCTCTACAGTATTTTAAGAAAATTTAACGGCCCACCTCTATATTTGTTTTGTGAGCAGAGGAGGGGGAGCCAAGGCCTGTTTGTACTCCCCCCCCCCCCCCCCGCCGCCCAGGCTCAGCGGCGCAGCTGGGTGGTTGCAGCTCTGACCACGGAGGTGGGGCGCCTTGGCAGCATCATCCGGCTGAACTGTACGCCTTTTCATAAAGGCAGAGGAACCACACTGTAACCCTCCCACCTGAGGAAAAGGCCTGTTTGTTCCGGAAGGCAAAGTCTAGCCTTATTTAACCAACTGCAAGCAGTTAATATAAGCACTCCCAAGGCAGCAAGAAAGCTCTAGTCTAGAACAGTACAGCCGTCCGCTTGATGAGAATTCCTCCAGAATCTGACATCCTCGAAGAGACAGCTCAGGCGCCTCACCTGACGGTTAGCCTGAAAACACTTGATCCTCTCTCCGGCTTCCAGGCCTGGGCAGACCGATAAGGCTGCGGGGCCATGCCTCCGCCCTCAAAACTTTCCACAGCTTTCGTTCGGGATTCCGAGCAGGAAAAACCGCTCAGCGCACACGCATCTCGGCCTTCCCGGGCACACCTCCCCTAAAGTCGGAGCCCTTCCAGGCAGGCTCCCTCGTCTTACCCTTCCTGCAGCCGCCCGGGGCGCGCAGACCCGGGCCCGGGGTTGGGGACGGCGGGGCGCCGGGGGTGGCGGGCGCCGCTCGGGCCGCGTCGGCGGCGGGACCGCAGGGCTGAAGGGCTAGCCCGGAGCCCAGGGGCGCGTGGCCGGGCGTTCCCGCCCCGCCCCCCGAGCCAGCGCCTCCGCCGCGTCGCCTCCCGCCGGGGCAGGGCGGACTGCGGAGCTGGCGGAGAGCTTCTCAGCTCGGGCCCTGGGCACTTTTTCCACGTGTAAGCCCGCGGGCCTCTCGGAGCCCCGGGGGCGGGAGGCAGCGAAGCGGAGCCCGGCGGGGGCGGTGGGAGATGGCGCGGAGGTGCGGGAGCCAGAACACCCCAGGAGGAAAGCAGCCCCGGGAGGGGTCGGCGGTGGGGTCCCCGGGGAGGGACCGTGGAAGGCAGGGGGGCGGAGCCGAGCGCCTCAGGGGTACTGACCTTCCGCGGGGCCCCCGGGACCGGCCTGAAGCTCCGTTCCACGCCGGCAGGTCCAGTGCCTCCACGCCGGGAGGCATGGTGCGGCCCCTGCGAGTCAGGAGGAGGAGGCCGAGGGTGGGACGGCTGCACCTGCCTCGGTCCCGAGGAGCCGGCCCGAGGCCCCTGCCCTCTGGTCCCCGGTGGTGCCGGGAGCTGCGGCCGGCCGGCTCCGCGTCCTGGGTGTCTGCCCGGAGGTCGGGCTGAGGAGAAGCGCCGTCTAAAGAGAACCGAGCGGTGGAGCGCCGCTGCGGCCCGCGCGCCCTCCACACTGCCCCCGGGCGGCGGGGGCGCGCACTCCCTGCCCTCCGAGGCTCCTGCCTTTCTTTGCGCCCGGTTTCTACACCATTCATGACTGTAGAAATAGTCATTTCTATTTGGATGCGTTCGGGACACACTCAGTGCCAAGCCGAGGGCTGGGTACTGTGGACACCGGGATAAGAAAGAAATGGCCCTGTCTTCTAGGACTTTACGTAAACTGGCAAGTTCATTCGGATAAGTTCATTCATTGGACCGTGTATGTATTCCGAAGCGTACGATCACAAAACTCTGTGACAAGGCTCATGTTTCGGAGATGTTAAGAGCTATGGGCGCACGAGGAAAAGAGAAACGGATCGCCTTTCGCTCGCGCCGGCACGCGGGAGCGGACCCCCTGCGCAGGGAGCGCGGCGTGTCCGCGTGGCCGTGGGCGGGACGGAAGGCTGGCGCGGACTTGCAGGACCCGCGCGGCGGGACTGGGTAAGCCCGCGCTCCCGCCTGCTACCGCCGCGGCTCTTCCCTCCCAGAGCCCGAAACGGAGGGCAAGCGGCCTGCTGGAAACCAGGCATGAGTCTTAGAGATGAGGGACTCGGGCACATGCCCCAATGTCATGTTCAGCTGCGGGCGATGCTGACTTGGCAGTTTGGACCCGGCCGACAGCCCCTTTTCCGGGGAGTCCTATTCTTTCTTTCCCGGTGGTAGCGGCAGCAGCGAAGTGCTGAGTTCCAGGCGATCGGGATCAGCAAGTGTTTAAAAGGTTTCTGGGGTTAGCTAGGCCAGACTATTCTGCCAGGTAATTATTTTAATATGCGTCTGCAGGTAGACGTAATTGGACAGAATGATGTAAATAGATAGACATAGTTGACCCGCTTTTGAAAGTCACTTTTAAGGCAAAAATGCATTTTAGAGTCCCTTTCATCAGGGGCGCCCACTGGGTGCAGACAGGCTTGGAAGATCCCGTCTGCGTAGTACCGTCCCCACAGGTGGGCGCAAGGGTGGTTTGGTTAGGTTCCTTTTTAGGAGAGGAAGCGGTACAGTGCTGTTCTTGTGGAGAGGATGTGGACTCCGTGAAAAAGACAGACTGTGGCTTGACTGGAAAGTGCTGGGGGAAGTATATGGAACGTAAGACATATTATGCTTATTGTGTAAATATGTACACAGATACTACATATCATATATATATAGTATAGGTATACACACCGTTTTTACGCTAAGGAATTTTCAAGCCTTTTTTAATTCAAAGAAAAGCCACCAGGAAGAACTACTTTACTAACCTCAAAATGTTAGGACTCCACTAGGGACAACGATCCCTTTAGAAGGGGACTGTAAACTGGGATAACTTCCTTTTGTATCAGCCAACTACTCATTATGGGTGTCTTCTAAAACTTCAGTATTTTTACTGAATAACTCATGGGTTATTCTACTGAAAAACTTATGAGTGGGTAGTTAAAAAGCAAATTCATTGTTAACAGTGCAGTTATTCAGAACATTTACCATCTGCAAGGGCTGTGTGCTTCAAGGGGCCAGGAGTCACCCTGAGTGCCCACTAGGTACGAAGCTTGATTTCCATATTATCTCATTGAACACTCAGCACTCTGTGTACTGTCATCTCCTTTTGAAATTAAGAAGATGGGTTCAGAGAGGTTTAAGTTACTGCCCTGAGGTCACCCACACAATTTGTAGTAGATCCAAGATTTCTATTCAGGTCTTTATTCTCACCACACTGCTACACTGATAGAGACTTAATTAACAGTTACTGCCCTTGAATTGCTTTCCTGATCTGGAGAAGTTTCCTTAGTTTCACAAAGTGGAGAAGAGATATATGTACATAAATAGCTGTAATTGGTGGTACATACATTATTGATAGGTAAAAAGGTATTGTTTTTAATTTTTATAAAGGTATTATTTTAAAAATAAACAGTAAGTAAATTCTTATCAAGCACTGTAGAGGGAGAAATAGTTGCAATGGGGAACTCCAAGTATTTCAAATTTCAATGTGCAAATGAAACACCAGGGGATCCAGAGACTTTAGATTTTCCATTTTTTAAAAGCCATAAGTTCTGCAATAGCTTATACTCATTGTAAAACCTCACATTTCAACACCTGGAGTGTTATTGGGATTGTCATTATGTTAAATAGTAAGACTTCAGAGTCTCAGGGCTATATTCATTTAACCCTTAAAACAAAATTACAAATTAACAAATAGGTTTCCTTTACAAAAAAAAAAAAAAAAGCTGCTTTGAGAAAACCTTTATTGCACATCATTGAATTCATTTCTACTTGAATAAATAACACTCAAAACAAAGATACATGTTGTAAAAATCCCTGAAATTCCAATCAGCAGTATCCAAGGAGTGGAGACTTTGTTTCTGTGTCTATTTAAGGCATACATTTCCCACTTATTTTTACGTTTTAAGCATAATTGTTTTTCAAAATATGTTTAATGTGAGTTTTAGAACCTCTCCCCCTGAAACCTGAAACCACAGTTCTTGACCCTAAAACACTCTCTTCCATGAGACTGAATGTGCCTGCGAAGGGCAGAGTACATCACACAGTTTGCGCAAGGCCATGCAAGCACTACACTAATCCTTGCAGGACTGAATATGCATTTGGTACGCACTTTAATTTCTATATATGTATAGGATACTTTCAACTACGTACTTTAACACTGAGGGAGAGAAAACTTATACATGAATAATAAAAAAAACCTGATTCTTTCCAGAACTAAAAGCAGCATCATATAACAGTTGTCCTTCGGAATGAAAGTTGAGACTGTTAGCTGGTGACAGTTGTCTTTCTTATTCTGCGCTTTAAGAGAAGATTTTAAAATGCAGTGATTATTGATATACAGCAACCACAAACCCTCTCTCTCAGGGATGTACCCCAGAGAGTGGTTAAGACCAGGGTTAGTGAGTTGTGTTAAGTCAGACCAGGCGTTATTCTCCACTGATGATACAATCAGCCCAGTCAGAAGAGCTGGAAGCTAAGAGCTAAAGAGGGGGATGGAGAACACATTCTAAAGCTATGGCAAAATAAACAAGAAATAACAAGAATTCAATAGCTTCTCTCATCAAAGTTAGTTTAAAATAAACCCAACATAAAGCTGCAAAAGATATTAAATACTGCTTTTAAAAATATAAATAGTTCTTGATGAATTATAGCTATCAGTTTGCTCAAAGAAATAGTCTTTAAACATACGACACCTGATCTTAAAATATCCATATGGTTTCCCAACTCAGCTACACATTATATTTCCCTCCAGGGCACAGATTAGCCTGATAGCTACTTTTTACAACAGCAGAATATAGATACTGGTGTGTCGTCTTTTAATCTGTATTTTCCAGAATTGGGTAGATCTTTGCATTCTGATATAAATGTACGAAGTTCAGTCTCTGGAAAGCCATCTTGTTGGTAATGCTACACAGAAGAATAAGAAAAAAAAAAAGCTCTCATGAATAAGTCCCTTGAAAACAGCTTTATTCCAAATTCAAAATTGATCATTTGTCAAGGGAAGGGGATCTTTCTAGAGGGATAGTTCAGTCACTTCCAAGTATTTCCAGGTAGATGTAGCCTTTAGAGCCATTCTTAAGTCTAGCTAAGGAAAAGTGAGTCTAGAATTCTGCATTGTCCTCATCGGCTCTTTTGTGGGTCTAGTTCAACCCAAAATGGGCATGTTGAATCTGAGTCTGAGCTGTCTTTCCAGGGAGAGTCCAGCCTGCACAATGTTATGGAGTCTCCCTTTCAGACAGGTTTATTTAAGGGCCTTGTATTAACATCAGTTTTGGGTCTAAGATCTCTAGAACATGCCCTGACCAGACAGGATCAGCCATCACTTGCCTACCTGACAGGTGCTGTGAGCTCATGGAAAGAGGTAAACATCTAAACTGTGAGTCTCAGACTTGTATCATCAAGAGTTGTCAACTCATATTACTACTCTTTGAGACCCTGGATATCACCCTTAAACAACATACAGTTCTCTGCATGCAAAGCTAAATAAAGGCAGTGAATTTTTAGAGCACAGTGGGGAGGGATTTGGATAAGTACAACTATGATTCAGTAAAAATAAAATCATGGCCCAGGCTTCATAAGTAAGTTATTCATAATTATCAACTCATAACCCATCAACTCCTGCTAACCTTTGCTTAATCCCTGGTACTATTTGTATGACATCATGTTTCATTACCCCTCTCATACCCAGAAGGTCCTCAAGTAGAAGTGTCTATGTCAATGGTATACCTAATAGTATAAAGTTATTAGAAATTTAAATATATATGGATATTTACCCTGCTTTTCCATTATTTCAAAGGGCTCAGACTGATTTTTAAACTATCCCATGTGAGTGACAATATAAATAACAGCTTTTCAAATCGTATTTCTGACATGTATAAAGCATACATGGCTAGTATTTGATATATCAATCCCTTCATTCTTCTGGAGACCACACCTCTGGGATGGTCCCAGACAGGGCCTTGCAAAGAGTATGGGTTCAGTCACAGCACACTCCAAACTAAAGTCAATTTTTCTTTATGAAAATTGGATTTTAAAAATTCCCCATAAAATTTTGAAACGCCATATGTTTTGCTCAATCAAAGCCTACTGATTTTTAGAAGTCTTTTTTATTTATTTAAATAATCTCTATACCCAACGTGGGCTTGAACTCATGACCCTGAGATCAAGAGTCACGTGCTTTCCTGACTGAGTCAGGATCTTATAATTCTAATAAAAGTTTAGAAAAATTGTTTGCAAAAGCTTACTTAGAGATAAAACTTTCAACATTCTCCAAATTCTAATTCTTCATTTCTGTGTCTCAGTATCGAAAATTGAAGTCTTTCTTTTCTACCCTGAAAAAACTGACATTCTATCAGTTCTCCTCTCTCTTAGGTATCATATTTTACTGCCATTCTACAAGTTCTGGAAAAATGTTGCTACTTACGGCTCTTGATGAACCTACCTTAATTGTTTCATATGTATCAGTGATCAGTGCAATGAAAAGACTTAAAATCATATATATAAAGAGGCTGATGAATGAGTAGAGGTAAATTCTGCTAAACAGCCAGACCAAGTAACTTTTTCGTTGCATTTTTGCAAACGTGGCGAACATATCATCTCCATTTATCAGAGAGAAAAGGCACTCAGAGACCACGTTCAGAGAACGGAACTGGAAAAAGGAAAGAAAAAAGTCCACTTTATTCCATGTTCCTTCCCAGTGGAGATTTTGTTTATGATGGCATATTTTTTTTAAGATTTTGTTTATTTATTTGTCAGAGAGAGAGAGAGAGCAAGAGAGAACACAAGCGTGACAGTATATTAAAAATAATGGGACCAGATATCCCAAGTTACTCCTACAAACTATGTAGTTAACCTGACAAAACTACAAGCATTTGCTGTGTGATATACACAACCTGTATAACGCATGGGAATAAGCAGCTCCTTCTTGAAGCTCCTCTTAATGGGACAGCCTGAACTGAAGGAGAAGGGGCTGGTCTGCACTCAGTGCTTTTCTAAATCAAGTCTTACCGTCCCCTTTACTTACATAGAAAGAGATCCTAGAAACACTTCTGTAGTGATACCCAAGTCCTAACCATGCATGCTCATACTTCTCATCTTAAAGCTCATTCCATTTAGGGTCATGGCATTATAATCAAGACAATAACTCTGGTAACAAAATTTTCAAATATTTCTTCAAGTTTGTCCCTATACTATTGTTTTAATAAAGTCACACTTCCAAAAGTCTTGCCTAAATAGCTTACTCTAATATATATTGATGAGTCAGACTAATCTTGACCTCATAGGTAGTTAAAAAAAAAAAAAAGATGTAATTATCTGATATATTCCACAAAAGGAGGTGAAGTAGTTGAGTGAATCAATCATTCTCTCAAGTTGGTCACACCGTGCCAGTTTATAAACATGACACTAGATATAGTCTACCTTCAACATTTTCAGGCTGAGTCACAAAATGGAAGGAGCCCGTTTTAAAAGGATAACGAGCCACTGGCACTATTTTAGGAGCTTAACGGTAACAGGAAAGAGTTGTTTATTGGTACCTTATCATGGTACGGGCCCAGCACGATCCATCCACAGAAGCAATAGCCTAAGTAAATCATAGCAGCACAGCAACAGAACCTGATGACATTGGGCAGCGCTGCCTGCAGGGTCAGAATAAGGAGCTGGGAAAGGAAGAGAGGCCATTAGAATCCACTCGTCCCTCAGCCAAAGCAGTGCACTAACTCAGAAAGATAGAAATACCAGCAGCGTGGAGATCCATGGAATCCTTACATTGTATTTCTGAAAGAAGCCGAGGTACCGAATGACTCCAAGCCACACAAGCATGGTGGAAGTCCCAAGAAGTATGCTACAGACATCATAACTTGTTAGACTCTGAAACAGTGTGGGGGGAAGAAACAGATTATTTAGCACAAATTCATTTGGGCAAAAAAATATTTTTGGGGTTGATATGAATCAGGCACTGTTCTAGGTCCTAAGAACAAAGAAGTGAACAAAGAGACAAAATGTCCTTCCCTCATGAAGCTTGCTTTCTGGTGTGTATGGGGGAGAGATAACAGAAATAAGTTAACAAAACCCTCAGTACTGATGGTAAGTGCTGAGGAGAAAATTCGGGGGAGGGGAGAAAGAATGGCTATCCGGGTTGCCTTTTAAGTGGGGTGATCAGGAAGGTCTCACTAAAAAGGTGGTATTTGAACAAAGACCTGAGGGCAGTGGGGGAGCAAGCCAAGCAAAAATCTAGGAGAGGAGTGTTCCAGGCACAGAGACAAGCACGTGCAAAGGCCCCACCGCAGGAGGATGCCTGGCAAGATAGGGAGTCAAGCCGGAGGGAGTGAGCAATGGTGGAGAGCATGGAGTCACAGAGGTAAGGGAGTAGGCAGTTTAGGGCCTCGTGGGTAATTTAACAACTTTCCATTTTAGTCTGATAGGCTGGGGAGATTGGAAAGCTCTGAACAGGAGTGATATGATCCCATTTGGGTTGCTATGATTAAGAGCAGACTGTCAGAAGAGCGAGAAGTCTATTGCAATAATATAGGTGACAGCTGATGGTGGCTGGGACCAGCCTGGTCATGGCGGAGGCGATGAGGTGGTTTTTGAAGGTAGATGGATAGCATTTCCTCTTGGATTAGATGGAGGGGAGAGAGGATTAGTGAATGAGAAGAGTCAAGGATGCATCTATGGCTTTTGTCTTGAGCAACTGAGAAGAGCCGCCATTAACTGAAGTCAGAAAGGAGAAGCATGCTTGGACTGGGGAGTTCTGTTTAGGTATGTTAAGTTTGAGAGACCAAGTAGACATCCAAATGAAAAGGCAAATCAACAGCTAGATATTTGAGACTAGAGTTCAGAGAGGAGTTCCAAGCTGGAGATACAGATTTTGAAACCACTGGCAGAGAGTTACTATTTAGCGCCACGGGACAGGGTGAGGTCACCAAGACAGTGGCAGAAAAGAGCAAAGGTCCAAGCCCTGCACCTCCGGGCGTTGTCACTTTAGTCGGTTAGAGAGATAAGAAGGACCCAGCAAAGGATGTCGGGAGACCGGCTTGTGATTTAGGATGGAAACCAGGTAAGTGATAGCTCAGTGAAGAAGCGCATCAACAAAGAGGCAGTGCTTGCAGGGTTAAAATCTGCTGATGGGCCAAGATGACGTCCCCAAATGATTCTGACCCAGAGGCTTATGTTATCACCTTTGGAGAGCTCTGCCTAAGAGATTTCCTGACGAGATGTAAGAAACTTACTGCTATTGATTTTAAGTTTACTCAACGCAATGTTTGAAAGAAATCATTTACTCTGCAAGTGTTCACATTCTGGAAAAATATTAGTGCAAATCTGATACTGATGATGGCATAAATAGGAAAAAAAATTACCTTCGCTTGAATTTCCATTTTCAGAATTGATCCAATAACTGTCAATACGTCACTAATAATAATCATAATGTACCATCCGTTGACGAATTCCATTCGATCAGAAACAGAAACTTCCTTCTTATAATGGAGGAGGAAAAAACCGACAAATTCCTTTAGGGAAAAGAGGGGAGGCACCATGATTTTCTCTGTCGATCACAGTGTCCGTAGCATTTCTAGAAAGCAGCAAGCCCTACCTGCTGAAGCTGAAGTCCTCTAATCACAGATCGAAGGCACAGGATTAGTGAGGTCAAGCTTATCAGAATAACAAAGGCATCAAAGATCATCATGTAGTGAGTGTTCTTCTGAACTGGAAGGAAAAAGTGTTACCTCCTTAACTAGTGCATTGCATACCACGGGATAGATGTATAAGGTTTATAAGGACACTCTGATTGTAATCTGTCCTCTCTGTGCACAGGTGCAAGTGATTCTTTAGGCGAATGAATATCTAGAGATGGAGTTGTTGGGGAAAGGCATATACACAGTTCTAAAAAGAAATCCTAAGAAACTGCCCTCCAAAAAGATCACACCAGTTTACATACCTACACATACCTCCACATCTTCTTCACCATTGGAAATTAATAATCTTTTATTTTTGTCAACCAAAAGAGCAAATCTTATTCTCAGTGATTTGAAATGCCATCTTTATCAGCTGCCAAATTAACTGTATGTATTCAAGAACCATCTCTTACCCTTTTGATGTTTTTGTGTATTTTAATGCCTAAGGCAAACACTTCTCATTACTCTTTTCTGGAATTTTTGTTGGCTATTCTTGCTTGTTTATTTTTCCATATATTCTTTAGAGTCAGACTGTTAAATTCCAGTAAAAATCCTACTGGTAATTTTTTGGGGGGGATCATATTAAATTTATAAATTAATTTAGGGAGAATTGGAATATACGTAATGTAGAATCTCTTGTCCAAAAGAATATGATGTGCCTTTCCACTGATTCAGGTCTTTTTGCATCCTTCAGGAGCATTTTCAAATTTTATCTGAACCCATTACACTGCTTTTTAGAATAATTTAGAGTATTCAGACATTCTTTCCGCAAAGACAACAGAGAGAAAAGGCCCTGGTAAGTGTCCTTCACATGAGTATTTAAAAAAGTTAAAAGTCCTTCTTTTAAAAATTACTACAGCCATCAGTAACAGATCTTTAATTATCAGCCTGCGGTCTTTTGTTCTTAATACAGTTAGCCTTCCTGCACATCCTATTAAAATATACCATCTGGATGTAAAACACTCGTTAAGAACCCATTATGTGTCAGGTGTTTCTTTAGATGCTGAGGATACAAGTGGTGACCAAGATGGGCCCCCGACTTGGGGAATTTCTGTTCTACTCAGTGTGACACACAGGGAAGTAAACAAGTAACTGAACACAATACTTCCAGACAGGAGTAAGTAATATGAAGAAAATAAGCATAATAGCTAACAGGTGTTGCCAGGCCACACACAGTCCTAAGCACTTTGTACGTGTTAACTCATTTGATCCTCACAGCAACCCCAGCCAGGGGGCTGTGATTATGCCCACTTGGCAGGTGAGAAAATGCAGCACAAGGAGGTCACAGAAACTTGCCCAAGGCGACCTAGCCAGTACATGGCAGAGTCAGGATTCAAACCTTTGCAGTCTGTGTCCGGCATCTGTCACTGTGTATGAGTGGTTCTTGGCATCCCTTGGGAACTGCTGGACATGCACACCTTCCAGCCCTACCCTAGACCCACTGAATCAGAAACGGCATTTTCACAAGCTCTCTCAGCTGGCACAGAAGTTCGAGAACCACTGTTCGAAATGAGAGAGACTGGTGTGGGGGCATGGGGAGAAGAGGCTCGTTTATGCGGCACCACAAGGGTCAGCAGGTCTCGGGGGAGACCTGAGCGGTAAGACAGAGCCACCCACGCAGAGATTCTGGAGGATTGCCAGCACAGAGTCGGCCAGCATGAGTGGAGTCAGGTGAAGAGAGGTGAGCAGAGGTCCCAGCCCTCCTATGCTGTGCTACAGAGCCTGTCTTTATTTGACAAGGTAGACTGCTCCCCGCTGATAAAAAGACAAGCACTTAACACTATAGTTCTGTAGTTCAAAGTTCTGTAATGAAGCATCCTATTAACATTAGCCAAGGGACATCTAATTGTTACCAAAATGTCTGCATCTACTTTAGAAAAACCTAAAAACTAAGAAACAAACATTTAAGAGAATGCCTGCGTGCCAGGTACGTTCATATGCTCTCGTCTTCTCTATTCCAAAGTGTGTGGAGAAGTATTGTGGTGTTTACAGATGACAAATAAAATTTGTGATTCACAAACCTCAAATATTTGAAGTTACCTCATAATGAAAAGAATACTAGAATGAAGAAATTTCACTTCATTTATCCTTAATATCTCATTACCGCTTCTGAACTGTGTGAATCAACCAGTAGGAAGCCCTAAAGCAATGATTTTCCAAGTATGGCATGAATAAGGATGTCCTGCACATTCCTAGGCCTCACCCCAGACCTGCGGACTGCCTTGCAGGGAGCTGGGGAAACTGCATCTAAGCAGGGACCTGGGGTGATTCTTATGCTCACCAGAATCCAAGAACCCCTGACCTATTCCAGCACAGCATACCAAAGGGCCTAAAAAATGAGAAAGATCAATTCTTTTCCAGTCAATTTTCTTAGTTCAGCCCCCAAATTCTCAATCATACTTAGTCTATACCTGAATTTATGTCCATATTTCTAAGAATGTACCCTTTCCTCATTCCTGAATATAAATATAATGTGCGGGATGCTTCAGGGTCCAATCCTACCTGACCTCTCCATGGCTGTATGATCACAGGCACCAAGATTCACTTCTAAGCCTTAGTTTCTTCGTTTGTGTAAATAGGGATGCTGCCTATCTCAAGGATATTTTAAAACTATTAAAATGTAGATGGAAGTCCTTATGCAGTAAACACTCAAAAAATATTAGTTTGGGCATATGTGATTATTTTTCCTGGGGGATCATGTGCATTTTTTGGTAGGAACTGGGCTAGTGAGGGCACATGTAGAGGTCAGCAAAAGTCATTTCAATTACTAGTAACTCATGCATTGCCTGGAACATCAGACACCCACAATGAGTTGATCTATTTGCAGAGAATTAGGAACTTGGGAATGCTCTGATTCTTTCATTTGATGCTCCACACATCCCAGTAATTTAATAACCCTTTTATTTTATTTAATAACCATTTTGAAAATTAGTAAAATTCACCACTTACTTGATCCGGATACATGCCAGTCTTTACATTCTCTGATGGAAATGTCATTATCTAAACTTATCTTAATTCTTCCACTATGGGCCTTATTGTCAAGTGTTATCTGTGAAGAACAGGAAAAGGGTCAAAACACACCTATAGTTCTTGAAGCCAAGATGTCTCTAGGCATTAATTAGGAAACAGATCTTTCAAGGTAACAGGATATCCATCCAGATTCTCATTCTGGACTCTCCTCCCCAAGTTGATGCTAGCTCTGTTTAACTTTGGGAAGCGCCCTTTATTTCTCTGTGAAATGAGAAAGTTGGACAAGATCTTCTGTCGAGACCTTTTAGTCTCTAAAACCCTATATTTCTAGGACAGTATTCCAGCCCTGGACAACTTATAAAACAAGAGATCTCTCTCCTTCCCACTCTAAGTATCTCTAGATGCCCTCTTGATATGGACAAGAGCAGGTACAAGTGTGCCCTCCCCGCTTCCCGGGACTCAGCTGGAGATAGTTTGTTAATGCTGCAGCAATTCTTACTAACACAGAGGTTAATTATCTCAGGCTTGAAACATTTCAGGTGAAGCTTTTCTGATTTTCATTCTGGGCCTAGATTTCTTAGTCACTCTAGTACCATATGTATAAAAAAGGATGTGGTGACAGGGAGTTGACAGCCATGTTTTGCTTCAAGAATCATTCCAGACACCAGGCACCAAGCAGGACAAAGTCACACCAGAACACCTTCCAGAGTCCTACTGTCTTCCCTTTCTAGCTCTCTCCACTTTCCCCATGCAGGGACAGGGAAAGCACGGAAATCAGCCATGGTTTTGTTTGGTTTGCTTTTAGTGCCTCCTCTCTCAAGTCTTAAAGAAAAAACATTCTTTCAAAAGTCTGCTCTTTAGGGGTGTCTGGGTGGCTCCATCAGTTAAGGTGTCTGCCTTCAGCTCAGGTCACGATCCTAGGGTCCTGGGATCAAGACTCATATCGGGCTCCCCACTCAGCAGGGAGTCTGCTTCTCCCTCTCCCTCAGCTGCTCCCCCTGCTTGTGCTCTCTTTCTCTCTCTCTCTCTCAAAAAGAAAAAATGCCTGCCATTTAAATGAGTTTTATTGAAGCTTCTTCATGTGGGGTAACTAGACATCCCTGCATATATAAGATTTCAAAGAAATTTAGTGAGTCTGGTCACTTTGTTTCTCCTCATGTTGGACTGTAAGCTTCTTTCCTTGACAAGCAACTAAAAGTGTTGTCAGTGTCTGCACATCTCCACACCCACTGCAGGACCCAGTCCATGGCCTCACAAAGGAAAGATGCTTCATATTATTTGAATGAGTCAGAAATCTTTGCCGAAGAGAACCCATGCTTTTCCCACACAGTGTCCAGGCCTTATAAATAGTAGGTGCTCACTAAATATCTGCTGAGTAAATATACTTTGGCTCAATGTCAATCACATCTCAATTGGGCTCAAAGAAGTTGAATTCTTTAAACAAAGAAGAAAAAATAATGGATAGGATTAAGAACCGATTAGATAGCGCAGAGAAAAGATTAGTGAATTTGAAGGTAGAGCAACAGAAACTTCCAAAATGAAACACAGAGAAAAAAGATTGGAAAATAAAACAAAAACACGAAACATTAGTAAGCTATGAGACAACTTCAAGTGACCAAATACACATGGAATTAGAATCTCTGAAGGGGGAGGAAGGAGAAGAGACAAAACTATTTGAACAAGTGATGTTTAATAAATGTCAAATGTAATGGAAACTATAAACCCACAGAACCAATGCTTAATAAACCTCAAACACAAGAAACTTGAAGAAAATTACACTAAGGTATATCACAATCAAAGAGATAAAGAGAACAACTGAAAAACAGCAAGGGGGAGGGGGAGTACATCCCCTGCAGAGGAACAAAGATGAAGACCACAGCATGTTTCTCATCAGAGCAATGCAAGCTAGAAGAGCAACAACATCTTTAAAGTACTGCGGGAGAAACAGTCAACAGAGAAGTCTATACCCAGTGAAACAATCTTTAAAAATGAAGATGGAGGGGCGCCTGGGTGGCTCAGTTGTTTGGGTGTCTGCCTCCAGCTCAGGTCATGATCCCAGGACCCTGGGATTGAGCCCTGTGTCGGGCTCCTTGCTCCATGGGGAGCCTCCTTCCCCCTCTCCCTCTACCTGCTGCTCCCCCTGCTTATGCTCAGTCTCTCTCTCAAGTGAATAAATAAAATATTTATTTAAAAAATAAAATAAAAATGAAGATGGAATACTTTTTTAGGCATATAAAAGTCTCTCAGCAGCCCTGCACTATAAAAAATGTTAAAGGAAGCCCTTCAGATGGAAGAAAAATGATCGCAGATGAAAGCCTGGAGCTATACTAAAGAATGAAGCGTGCTGGAATGGTTACTTCGTGGGCCAATATACTTTTTTCCTTATTATTTAAATTGCTTTAAAAGATAATTGTTTAAATAAAAACTCCTAACAGTACATTATATAGTTTGTAACACATCTGGAAGTAAACCGTGTGACAACAACAACATAAAAGCCAAGATAGGAGACACAGAAATAGATTGTTATAAGATTCCTGGGCTCTACATGCAGTGGTATAATATCACTTGAAGGCAGATGATAATAATTTAAATATTTGAACTGTAAACCCTAAAAATAATACAACAAAAAGTTACAGCTAATAAGCTAACAAATGAGCTAAAATAGTATCCAAAAAATATTCAATTCAGGCAGAAAAAGAGAGAAACTATATTAATAATCACATATCATTTAAATGGTCTAAGCACCTCAATTAAAAGGTACAGATGATGAGGTTGGGTAAAAAAGCAAGACTTAACTCTATGCTGTCTAATAAGAAACCTACTTTAAACATGAGATACAAATAGGTTAATATCAAAAGGATGGAAAAAGATATACCATACTAACACTAATTAAAAGAAAGTTGAAGTGGTTATATTAAGATCAAACAAAGTAGATTTTAGAGCAAAGAATATATATTGGGGTAAAAAGTGCCATTTCATAATGATGTAGAAGTCAGTTCCTCAAGTGAACACAAGAATCCTAAATGTTTGTACACCTAATAAAGAGCTTCAAAATACATGATGCAAGAATATATTAAATTGCTATGAATGAATGTTAATGTACTACTTTTACATTATAAATCCAAATGATAGGCACAGGAAGGTTTCATAAATAGTTGTTGCATGAATCAAATATCTGCTATATATCTCATATACATGAAGTATATTAGATAGACAGATGTCTTGACAACAACTTTGTTGGGTAGATGGGCATTAATTCTGTTTTATAAATGAGAAAACTGGAATTCAAACCAATTAAGTAATTTACCTAAAGTTACAAGCTACTAACTGGTGAGCTGGAATTAAAATCTACGCTTGCCTGAATCTAAAACCCTTGCATTTTAAATCAGGCATATATGGCCCCAGTTCATGTTTACTTATAAACATAAAGTTGCACTAATTGTATTTATTATTAAACTACCCTATTGGGGCGCCTGGGTGGCTCAGTTGGTTGGGCGTCTGCCTTTGGCTCAGGTCATAATCCTGGGGTCTGGGATGGAGCCCCGTATCAGGTCCCCTGCTCTGCAGGGAGCCTGCTTCTCCCTTTTCCTCTGCCTGTTACTCCCTCTGCTTGGGCTCTCTCTCTCTGTCAAATAAATAAATAAAATCTTTAAAAAAAGTAAAAAACAAAAAAATAAACTACCCTGTAGGGCATCAGTTCCACTGTAGTTCTGGGAGACACACTGCTAAATCCACAAGGCACGGGCATAGCTCGGGTCAATCTGCAATAACAGGAAAAACAGAACATCCACCTGCGGCTAACAGGCCAGGCTGCTCTCACCACTGTACTGAGTCATGGGAAAGGGTCTACATTTTACAAATGTTTCTTTTACTCATTCCACAAATATTTGAGTCACCTACTATGTTCCTTCAGGGATGCAAAGATTAATAAAATGATTCCTGCCTTCAAGGAGCTTTCAGTCTAGCAGAGTTGATGATAAAAGCCTAGAAAATCCTAAAACAAAAGAGAAGGTGGGTGAGCCCATTAAAACATAAAAACAAAACCAAAAATAAAACCCTGGAGTTCAGAACACAGAATGTGTTCCTAACTGAAGCATCACAAAGAGGGTCCAGGAAGACGGTGTCAGTTGAGCTGAGCCTTGAGGATTATAAAACTTCTGAAAAGTGCCATTTCTCAGTTTGAGAATGGTGCAGGGGATGGTAAGGGAGAGGAGGGAGAAGAGACAAGACTGGATAATAGCTCAATTTTTTTAAAAAAGTCAAGTAATATTGAAAATTCGTAACTTCCCAGCTAATATTAGGATCAAAATTTGTAGCCTAATACAAAATAGTCTCACAGTATTAGTGCTTTTTCCCACTAAATGATATGCATAATTATTTAGACTATATTCTGAAATTTTTTTAACCTCAACCTCTGAAAACTTGATTTCTCTTAGCCAATTAGTTGAGTATCAAGGACAGAGCTCTGGTACAAACTACTGCTGAAGTAACAGCAATCTCGACTGTGTGAAGGTGAGTTGTATCAAATGCTGTTCCACATATGCCCCACACAGCATTGGATTACTGACCCTGAGCCTCACGGGCTGATCTTGTGCTCTCTAGAGAGCATTAACAGCTCCTTTTGCAACTGGAATATAGAGAACAGAGATGTGGCAGGGTGGGCTGAAGGGGGAGGAACCAAAGCATCTGGAGGCAACCCAAGGAAAGCACTGTGAGCAATAAGCCAAACGCTGCACACATCTACAGTGAGGAGCCTCAGCAGCCAGAACCCCTGGCAATGACCGTAAGCAGAGAGCCACAGACTGGTATGAGCCAACTATAGAGGACCTACAAGCTCTCTGCTACTTTTGTATTGAACACCTCCCCTGTGCCAGTTACTGGTCTGAGTACTGGAGACACTGCACTGAACAAGGCAAGGTCCCCGCCCTCACAGGACTTCCACTGAGGTACAGAGGATAATCAACAAGTAAACAAGTTACCATAACAAAACAGAGCCAGCTATACCAATGCTTCCCCCAGGCACATTCAAGTGGGAACATCCTATATATCTGACCATGTTTTAATAGGGGTAGATGAAACATGTAATGAAACCAAACAATTTTTCTTCAGCCTGGGACCAAATTCAGCCCAGCCCATGCTTACAGTCAGAGTAAAGTCGTAACAGTCAGGGAGCTCGTGATGACGAATGGTCTGCAGATTAATGGCCTTCAGTTTAAACTGCAGCTCCACAGTTAGGAGTCTAGGAAACAGAGGAGGCTTTAGTGCAGTGAAAACATACACACACAGACACACAAGGTACACTCGCAACTGCTTCCCTCACCTATGAAAGTCCAGTGTTAAGTTCAGTTTATTTTCTTCCAGTGTTCCGATGTGAAAAGGTTCATCTGGCTCTACAAAGAAACATTCTGCCATAGAAAGAAACAAAACATTATGTATATTGCCTAAAATAAATAAGTGACCTGCATCTTGGAAGGATAATATATTTAAGACTAGATATTCAGATTCTACTGTTCTTCTGAATTAAGATTTAAAAGCTAAAGGTCAATATCTCTTGGTTACAATGAGTCATTTGTTTTTAAGATGCAAGTGGCTACATTTCTGGAGTGGGTGAAGGGTAGGAGACCTGAACCTGAACTCTGTCTCTTTAGTCTCCTATAGAATGCTCTCTTCCTTCCTTTGTGAGCCTAAACTTTGCATCCCTTCTCCCTTTTCTGTATCCTAAGCATAAGTGTGAAGCACTTACAGTACCTAAGATAAAATTTTCTAAATTTAAAGGATCTATTTTTTAAAATACTATTTTATTTTAAAATTTAAAAAAAAGGAAGACAGCATTTTAGGAGATTTCACTAATCTGTACTGTAATCCTTTACTATCCCTCTCCAAAAACCGTCCCAGTGACTATTGTTAAAAGTATCCGGATACTTAATTTTTAACTCAAAGACTTAAGTTAGTATTTTAGGTACACATTATAAATAGAACTTTGCTAATAAGAATAAGCCACTCAAGGGCACCTGGGTGGTTTAGTTGGTTAAGTGACCGGCCCTTGATTTCAGCTCAGATCTTGATCTCAGGGTTGTGAGTTCAAGCCCCGCACTGGGCTCCACTCTGGGCATGGAGATTACTTAAAAAAAATAATAAAAATAAAATAATAATAATAATAATAAGCCATTCTATTCTAATTCCTGGTTCTGGTTCCTCCCTAAACCCAGCATCAAAGATACTAAGTTGAGAAGGGCAGTTGAGGGGAGGGAGTTTTATATACATGATGAATTTGCAAGTACAATGTTTTATAAGGATAGTATAAGTTTATATAACTGGCTTATCCAGTGCAAGAGGAATTGGAATATAGAGGCTAAGAATGTAGTGGCTCAGAGCACAGATAGCCTGGGTCAAATTTCAGCACTGCCTCTTACCAGCTCCATCAGGACCATATCACTTAACTCTCTGAGCCATACTTTAGTCTTCTACAAATTGAGGATAATAATATATCTTGCCTTATTGGTTTGTTCTTGTTGTTGTTTTTAAAAATCATGAGTTACAGTAAAGGGCTTGGAACAGCACCGACACAGAACAACTCCCACAAATTTTCTTACTATGACCTAATAGCACAGACCAAATGAACATTTTCAGAGATGAAATTACTGGTTTTAAGGATAAATCAAGGAGCTAAAAAAAAAAAGGAAGCTCTAGTTTCTTGAAGAACCTCACCAGTTTCAATTTCTGGATCAATGTCAAAGGTATCATTTCCAGGACAGATGTTTCCTTGCCTGTAGAAGTGCTGACAGATGGTCAGAGCAGACTGCTCCATGCCCTTGTTCTCGTAAGCATGATTCCCAACCGACGTGTTGCGGAGCTGCAAGTACTTCAAACCAAAAAGAGAAACAGAGAATGGGAACACCAGCTAGACAGAAATAAAGCCATGATTGCCTACCCACCCTGCCTATGAAACGGGCAGGTTCCAACCTGCTTTCTGGGTGGAGACGCTCACGTTCACATTCACGTTGATATGCGAGCACATGACATGTTACTGTGTGCCAGGACAGTAGCCTTCAGAAAGCACTCCCAAATTAGAGTTCTGGGCTCCAGTCTCATTTCTGTGAGCGTGGGCAAGTCACAAATTTTCTGAGCCTCTGGTTCCTTGTCTACAAAAGTAAAGGCTTACAGTACATCAACTCTGTGATCCTTCCTTCTTTAAAGAACTAAGTGCAGGAATTGATTTTTGCATTCAGTGTGAATACAAACTTTATCTCTGAACCGTTTCTTATTAAGGTCAGAGTTCTGCTTTGCTGTTGTAATACAGGAAAGGGGATACAATTGTTCTAAGCTAACCTGCAAAACTTTTTCAAAAAACAAACAAAACTGTTTCATCTTTATCATTGCAAGAATACAGGTTAGTCACTTTCACAGCAATATTCTCTCCTCCTAGGGAGTCCTATAAATAAAATAAAATGTAATTTTACAAATGAGGATCTCATGGTACTTTGGAATAACCATCAATTTAAACTCTGAATGGGGGCGCCTGGGTGGCTCTGTCGTTAAGTGTCTGCCTTCAGCTCAGGTCATGATCCCAGGGTCCTGGGATCGAGCCCCACATTGGGCTCGCTGCTCTGCAGGAAGCCTGCTTCTCCTTCTCCCACTCCCCCTGCTTGTGTTCCCTCTCTCGCTATGTCTCTATCTGCCAAATAAATAAATAAGATCTTTTTTAAAAATTAAAAAAAAAAAAGAAGCTGCATTAAGTTGTTAAATAGCATTATGTCCTATATGTAGGGAGCAAATAGTATAACAGTGGAGATACTCGGTTTTGAGGTTTTTGTTCTCTATTCAAGGAAATAAGTGGATTAAGCCTTGCTAAAGCTACTCTGAGCCAAACTGGTAGTTTTATATTGGGGGTGGGAGGGTGTAAGAGGTCAACAGTCCATTAAATGAAAACGAAGGTAAAAGATCTTGAGCGTGGTGAGGTCCCAAGCAGACCAGTGTGCCTGCAATGGTGTGTGATGGGAAGTAAAGCTGGAAAGACAAGCAGGGGTCATGAGGTAGAGTCATACAAGTATGGGGTCCTGTAGCCCTTCTGAGCACCTACTATTTGTGAAGCAGTCCTCATAGGAATTACCTAAAGATCTGAGCCTCCTGACCACAGAAAACTTGTATGTCTTGAACTTCGTAAGATCTTGAAACACAGAAGATCCAAGGTGCAGGGCTGCAGGTAACCTGCTAACATTATAAGATATCCTCTGGCCAAACTTCCTTGCTGTCCTAATAAGACTCTTCATGGAGGTCTGTACAAGAGCTAGATGGTCAGGGGCAAGTGGTAGGACTGTGTCCAACTAAGGGAAATCCTGGAGCTTGAGTCAGAGGACTCTGGGACAGGAATGGGGTGTGTGGGACTACGGCTGGAAGGCAGGTGACCTATGGGACTGACCAATGGGGCCCCCAAGTGGCTGTGGCCTCTGAGGGCTTTAATCAGACTGGGCATCTGTCCTCACCTGCCTCTGCAGCTCTGCTTTGACAGAGGAATTTTTCACACAGATCCATAATTCTGTTTAGTAACTTAAGCAGCTTACTTCCATCACCGCAGATTTCTGGCCAATTTACACAGTCCAAGGGTTAACAGAAAAGCCTTGATGCCGTAAACACATATGTCATCCTAGCAATTTGCTATCTCACTGAGCATAGATTGTCTCTAGATAATTAAGAACCATAATTGCACTATAGTAATTTTTACTTTTGAGGGGCAGTTAATCAATGTTACAATAAAACCATTGTCATGTATGACATAAAGGCCTTACTTATTTTTTAAACAAACTTTCAGGTCTTAGTTGCTATATATGCTTTGCAAAGTTAATATTCTCATTATTTGTTAAGGGCCCCTGAATGTATAAACTCTGAAGACTTAATGACTACTTACAACCAGGGCCATGGTTAATAATTTTAAATCTTTGAGGTACTCATGCCAACCCCTAGCTCTGATTCTTTTAATTAAGTCTTTAAAGTTTCTGTCTCTTTGTTACTAAACTAAAGCTTTTCTCAATTTCTTGTTTCATGGAAGTTCGATGGTGATTTTTTTAAAAATAATTTTAAGGGGCGCCTGGGTGGCTCAGTTGGTTAGGCGACTGCCTTCAGCTCAGGTCATGATCCCGGAGTCCCGGGATCGAGTCCCGCATCGGGCTCCCTGCTCGGCGAGGAGCCTGCTTCTCCCTCTGATCCTCTCCCCTCTCATGTACTCTCTCTCTCTCATTCTCACTCTCTCAAATAAATGAATCTTTAAAAAAAAAAGTTTAAAAAAAATAATTTTAAAATGGTTTTATACATATCATTTATATATGTCATCACAGAAATGTTCACCCTTCTACAGTGGAATGTCACCTTCTATTATGTACATTGCTAACAATTTCCCAGTCTGTTCTTTCTCCCAAGTAAGAACACACATACTTGGATTTACCTGGTTCACTGCAAAGGTGATCTGATCGTATACATCACTTTGTGTGTACACTGCATACGTGTCATCCATTCGGTCCATATATCCTTTCAAGAAGAGGTGTTTGAATGCTATAGTGTTCTCTTCCTTGAAAGCTACAACCATCTGGTTACTTAGCCCAAAAAAGACCAGCTTAAAAGAAGAAAAAAAAAGGGGGTTGACAAAGCAATGGAATAAAAGGTCTCCATATAACAATCAATTTATCTATTCGTCTAATTCGTCCTGAATATATTCAATATATATTAAACTTTTGGTAGCTGTAAATTAATCTGGCCTTAAAGATAACATGGGCTTCTAGTTTTAAAATGAAAGAAAGTGGCTTTGCACATTTTCATGTATGATCTTGCTTATGTCGTTGCCCCCACCACCACTTTCAGAGAAGTCCTCCTTTAGGAGTTTAGAGAAGCAAGGTCACGCTGGCTAAAGAAATGGGAAGGTTTCCTTAAGAATGAAATAATGATAGAAAACGCTGGAAGCATGTGCATAACTTGGGTGGGGACATTTGAGGAGCACAGGAAAAAGGCTAAGAAGGTAGAGAGGAACTTAGCACTTTGGGGGGGACACTGAGGATCCCAGCACAATCCAACTGAAGGAACAGCAAGAAAAAAATGTCAGCAGAAAAACTGGAGGCAGATGGTGCAGGGGTTTAAATGGCAAGTAGAAGATTTTAAAATGAATTGTGCAGGACATCAAGAAGGCTTTGAAGCAGGTGTACAATGCAATATAAGAAGTTTCTTAAATAAGTCTAAGCCTCCAATCAAATGACTATAGTTAATTGTCAGTTTAATGATCAAAACTGTGACAAGAAGACCAAAAATAAAAAACAGCCTTTCAACTGATCTCTAAATTAAAGAATATTAACATAATATATCCTTACTATTCATGCAGGACTGACCCCAGAGTTTTACATGAAACTCAGTTATTCACGCACAAAAAGTTGTTTAACTGCCCCGCTGTCATCTTAACGTAAGCTCTTTCAATCATACCTGAAACTTTACTCCAGGTGTCTCTTTCACTTTCTCTTCCCTCTGAAACCATCTCAATCTCTTGCTCTCTTGCTCTTTCTCTCTTGCTCTCACTCTCTCTCTCTCTTTCTCTCTTGCTCTCTCTCTCTCTCTCTCTCTCTCTCTCACACACACACACACACACACACACACACACACACTGTAAGTTTAGAACATACACTCTGACTTGGATCTCAGAGTGAAGAAGGGTGTATTTTATACGGAAAAGGGAAACAACACTGAGCACCTATGTGCCATACCAGGAACTTCCTTCATACGAATCCCACAGTACAGTCCCTAACATACCCATTTTAGAGATGGGTACATAAAGGCCTAAAGAAGTTAAATAATTTTTTCAAGTCACCTCACTACCAAGTGTATAGTCAAAATCTGAACCCAAGTCCAACAGACTAAATCCAAGCTCTAGCCACCCTATCAAGCTACACAAAGTAGTACAGGGTCTTACTGGGGAAAAATTGAGCACACAAATCTTTTCTTTTCTCACCTCTCCTTGTGATGTATGCCCTGCACCCCACACATGCCAGTGCTCTCCATCTAACTGGACTTTTATTTACAAAGAGCCTCTTTAAGCCAAGTGTCCTATTTAAATCCCAAGAAGACAGCTTGATATTCCAGGGATTTTACATATAATGAAGCAGATGACTGAAAAGCCTCCAGAGAATTCCTAAAGACCAATTACAAATGAGTACCCCCCACATGCCGGCACTGAGCTGGGTCCCAAGGATGCAATGCAGAAACAACGGTCCCTGCCCTCAAGGGTGTACCCATGGCAGAGAGAAAAGCCCTGTAACTCAGAGACTGTACCAGGCCTTGGGGAAAGGGAACATTTAGTAGGGTGCCTATCATCAGAGATGTCTTTCTTTTGGGGCTGCAGACACGAAATCTCCAAATGAACTTCTTTCCCCTGAGAAGAGGAGATCTGTCACCCAGTCACCCTGTTTTGCTCGGTTACAGAGTCTTTATGTAATATTTGCTTGGTTGATCTAATACAGATTAAGGAAACATCACAATTAAGAAAAACCTTCAGGGAGACCTGGGTGGCTCACTTGGTTGAGGGACAGACTCTTGGTTTCAGCTCAGGTCATGATCTTAGGGTCGTGGGATTGAGCCCTCTGTCAGGCTCCGTGCTTGGTGGTGAGTCTGCTTAAGATTCTCTCTCTCTTTCTGCTCCTCTTCACCCCCCACCCCAATCTCTCTCAAATAAATAAATAAATAAATCTAAAAAAAAGAAGAAGAAAAGAAAAGAAAAATCCTCAGATGGAGCCTGCTGGCTCAGCCAAAGAGCTGAGGGTTGTGAGTTCTCATCCCACATTGAGGGTAGAGATTACTTAAAAATAAAATCTTAAACACAACAAAACAACCCCTCAGTTCCTTTTAAGAATGTACCTAAATGCCTTTTATATGCTTATTACTAACAGGCTTAACATCTTAAACCATTGGTCACTTTTCCTCTTGACCACCCTAGGAAACAGAGGATGGTTAAATGAGCTCCCTAAAAAAATTAGGAGTAATTAAGAACAGAAGTCTTAGAGAGAATAAAATCTGAGTTGAATCTCAGTTCCACTCTTCTAGTTTCCTGACTATGACAGATTATTTTACCTAAGTCTCAATATTCTCATCTGTGAAATGGGGATAATTACTCTCACCAGTAGGAAAATATATCTTCACAAGAGTAAATCATAATCACTATATATAAAGAATTGCAAAATATGATTTCCCCAAGAAATGTCAACAAAGTCAAGGAAATGAGATTCAAACTCTCCTAAAATGAAGTCTTGTATTTCACTACCTATGCCACTCTTTTTTAGTTAACTCTACATTTTTCCACTGCAGGGCTGTGAGAATCTAAGCACTTGCCTTAAGAGAAAACCTTTGAAGTTTCTGAAGAGAGAGAAATTCCTAGGAAACTAGGAAGGAAAAGAATCCTCCGGTTGGGCAACAGCTAGCTAGTTTTCACAGCTGATTTAGAAAGCTTCAGCTTCTCTATTACAAACCAAATATTAAAATTTTCTTTTCCTAAAAACTGATTCCATTATGTGACTAAAATTGTAATTTAATGAAAGATGAGAAGGAAAAAAAGTAAGGGAAAAAAACCCCAAAGTCTTCTTTCACAAATATTGAAGAGAGGAGTTTAAGATTGTATGTTTCCTTATTTATTGTTCTCCATTATACATACAGTTCAAAGTTAGAAAAAAACACTGTCCTTACTCCTCTGTTACTAAAAGAGGCCTCATTAAACTCACGATTTGAGATGCTTACCTGTATAGTCACCATTGCAATTTTTAGAATTTGTATGGCAAGCTTCCATGGTTTTCTGCCTCGAGCCCAGAACTTCTCACAAGGATTCATGAAAAAAAATTTGAGTTTTCGCCTCATCTGGTCTTCTAACAGAAGCTCCTCAGAGGGTGATGTATGCTGGTTAAAAGTGCAGCGATTTTCCTCTTCCTGAGAGCTGCAGCTACTTATAACAACCACAGGATTTGCCATCTCTGGGGAGAGGGAAAAAAGGACTGTTTCCATTCTATAACTAAAGGCACAAATCCATATTCTTTGTGATAGAATAGTTGAAGAAGCCCAAACAAAGATCTGGTTTCAAATAAGCACCATTGTTCTAAACTGCACTTCAGGTGTTTACTTTCCCTGCAGTGATAAAGTTTTATCAGATCATCAAAATAAGTTTAAAACCACTGAGTTAGGGCGCCTGGGTGGCTCAGTCGGTTGAGCGACTGCCTTCGGCTCAGGTCATGATCCTGGAGTCCCGGGATCCAGTCCCACAACAGGCTCCCTGCTCGGCGGGGAGTCTGCTTCTCCCTCTGGCCCTCCCCCCTCTCATGCTCGCTCTCTCTCTCAAAATAAATAAATAAATAAAATCTTTAAAAAAAAAAAACCACTGAGTTAAAGGTATCAAGGTGTTATGTAGAGAACTAAGGCCGGAAATAATGAATTATGGAACACTACATCAAAAACTAATTATGTAATGTATGGTGATTAACATAACATGAAAATAAAAAAATTAAATTAAATTAAATTTTAAAAAAAGAGAGAGAGAGAACTAAGGCCGGGTTTGGTGTCTAATCCTGGTTCTATGACTTGACACCTCTATAACCCTTGGCAAGTCACTCAGCCTCTCTGAGCTTCAGTTTTTTCTTCTACAAATTGGTAATAACAATACCAATCCTCACATGATTCTGATTGAATAAAAATGCAAATAAAGCCCTTGCATAGGGTTCAACACTGAGCAAACAGCCTCACTCTCCCTGCAGCCCCAGCAGCCAGGGCAGCTTCCTAAACAGGCACCAAGATTCTTAAGGGGCAGTGGAGGCTCAGGAAACTTAACTCGTCTACAAAAGGGAACGCAGAAGCTCAATTTAAGTCCAAATCCCAATCAGCCACATCACTTGTATTTGATTTTTATTGGAGGCCTTATATTTATGTAGTACATTTTGCTTTCCAAAGTACACCAGATGTATTATTTCTTTTGTCTCTTTGAAAAGGATGGGGCTAGTTTTATTGTCTTTGTAGTCAGCTTTTCCAAAATGACAAAGATGTCAATCCAGAAGTGGGGACTTCTCTTGGACTTTCACTCAGATTAATTAATACTATGGAAACCCCAAACCACCTGGGAGAGTAGAGTGCTTCCATGTAGACTAGAAAGGCTGGCTCTATAGTGATATTTTTACAGTGACTTCTACTCAGAAGTCAAGGTGGGGGTAGAAGGGAATCAAACTATAGTAATACAACATCTAACAAGTCGCTGTTTAGGTATCACCCTGCTTTTCAAGTATAGAATCCCACATTTGGTTCTGATTCAAACATTCTTAGCAAACCCGACATCTCCAAGTAATAGATATTGGCAAAAACTAGCTATGGGGAAAGTTTTTACAATATTGATTAATGAAAAGATTAACAAGGATAGTGCTGAGTCAGTAAAGCATGAAACATATTTGCAATGGCATAAAAATAGCATGTGCAGTATCTTCAAAATGAAATAATTACGATAGAACTCATTCCGGTATGGTTCTTATATCTTAAAATCCCTGTCAAAGTATGAGTACAGAAACTCTCAGGTAAAGACATAAGGGAGAGAAAAAAAGTTATTAATCCCTTAGGATTTTCATTCAAGAACATTTTATTTCCTTCTTCAAAACCCAGCATTTAAAGAGACATTACCTATGGGATGTAAAATGAAGGTGATTTTATGTTAATCAAAAAACTGGCACATGAATACCAACAATAGTAATGAAGCTGGTAATAACAAAACATGTTGGTGAATTACAGATTTGAGGGCATGTTGGTGAATTACAGATTTGACGACGCGTTAAGCCCTTTCTCTTTTGATACAGGGAAGAAGTAAACTTTAAACAAACAAGACACACGCCGTGTAACAGTAACCCACAGGAACAAAGAGAAAATGAGCCAACCACAATTAATTTATTCAGCACATGGCATCAAGTTGTCCCCGAAGCAAGGCATTTCATTCACAAGGACTGACCACTACGCTTGCTGCAAGAGTTTAGCTTTACCAAGTCACAGAGGCCCTTCGAGGGGTGCACCGTATTTTTTTTTTAAGATTTTATTTATTTGTCAGAGAGAGAGAGCACGAGCAGGGGGAGCTGCAGAGGCAGAGGGAGAAGCAGGCTTCCCGCGGGGCGGGGAGCCCGATGCGGGACTCGATCCCAGGAGTCCGGGATCATGACCTGAGCCGAGAGCAGACGCTTAACCGACTAGCCACCCAGGCTTCTGGGGGGTGCACTTTAAAAACTGCAAAGTGTCCAGACCCCTTGCCGCTGAGGGAGTGCCAACCACCCTTCACACAGCCCCGGAGCGGCGCGCGGGATGCACGGTAGGCGGAGACGCGGGTCAGGAGAGTCCATCCGAGGTACTAGGCGCGCTCTTAGAATCTACAGACTGACACACAGGTTATTTATTCACGGCGACGAGAGGCTTTATTGGACTGAGCTGCAGAAATTTAGAGAAAACCAGGGAATATGTATATTTAGAAAAAAACCTCACAGTTGATAAAGTAACACAACCTAATTTCTTCAGAAGCGCTTTCTCACTTCACCAGACACGAAACTCCTTTCTTTCCTTCCTTCCCTCCTTCCCTCTTTGTTTCACCGGCGTCGGGACCGACTGCCCGAAGTGCTGCGGTCCGGTGCTGGGAGGAGGTGCAGCCGCTCTCCCGAGAGCGCCGCCGGCCGCAGCGCACCCCTCCCCAGCCTCCGCGCCGCGGGCAACTTTCACAGCCGGGCCTGGCTGGAGGCCGCCTTCGCCCAGTCCAGGGACCCTGGCTTTGGCCCCCATTTCCATCGTCCCCCCCCCCCCACGCCTCTAATAAAGGCCACTCGCGTCCAGAGAGGCTGGCTGAGCAACTTCAGGACCCTCTCTCAGCCCCCGCCCAGGTCTTCCAGGGCGAGACTCTGACGCAGGTGGCTCCCTACTCTCCGGGTCCCTGCCCCAGGCTCCCCGGTGGGCGACGATCCGGGCGGGGCTGCGCGGCAGAGGTGCGGGCTACCCCCAACCCGAGCGCCCACCCACCCCGCGGGGCCCCTGCCCGAGCCCTGGCCGCCACCACCCGCCACTGACCTTGCGGGGGCGGCGGAGCGCGCACCTTGCCGAACCGCTGCAGCTCGCACCCGGCTCCCACCTGTGTCACTTCCATGGCGCCGACGTCCGGGGGCCTGACCCTCCCGCTGTGTCAATGACGGCTCGCCCCATCGCCGTCCCTCCCCGCACGCCGCAGGCGCCGCTCCCACGACACCTGATGCTCCGGGCGGCGCCGGGCTCGACTCACCTGCGGCTCGGGGGCAGCGTCAGCGGGGCGGGGGTGCCAGGTCTTCGCAGCTGCAGGGGGCGCGGCAGCTCGGCCCGCCGCTCCGGAAGCCTCCGAGACTCCTCTCAACCCAGTCCAACCGGAGCCCGGCCGGTGGCATCCTCCCCACTTCGGCCGCTTTGACTCGTGACCCGCTTCCCCTTTGCTCCCACTCCTTTCCACGCCCTTTCTGGGTAGTCTTTCAGCCGGCCAGGTGGGGCGAAGGAGGCCTCCGATCGAGCCCGGCGCTGTCCGCGTCTCTGCACACCCCTTCACGCCCCTCCCTGTTCCCATAAACAACCCGCATAGCTCGGCTCGCATTTCTCGGGTGCTCTGGGGTGACTCACGGTGCAGTGCAAGTGCGTGGGCTGTGCGCTTCCGACCGCAAAGGGGCAACCCCTCGCGGCCCAGGACTCTCCCTTGCATGTTGGGGGTGGACACGAGGATGGAGCCTGGAAGGAGCCTGGCTGCGGGGGAGTGCTCAGTCCTCTCCAGCGGCAGTGGGTTCTGATGTCTGCCTTACAGGGGAAATCATCAAGTGTAAGACTTTGCAGGCCCGAGCCTTGTACCACCTCTAGGCCTTCAGGCTCTGCCGAATTGCCTGTAGACCGTTAACTAGACTCCTCTAGCCGGGGTGCTGGGGACAGAAAGCCCTGGAAAGCTCTTAGGAGAAATGTGACTGGATATACTTGAGGTAGTGACAAAGATTCTCTGCTTGACCAAACATTAGCCATGCTGCTAAACCTCCTAGGTTCATCTCTGCATTTTCTTGTAAAATCCAGTTTTAGCAAGAACCCTGCTAAGTCAGTTTGACCAAAACACTCTCCCCCATACACCCCTCAATATCTGATTATCTTCAATATGTATTTAGGTTCCCTATCCTCCACCACCCCCGAGTGAAGTCTGATCACCCTGGGCTGTTTTCAGCAAGAATCCTGTTAGGTGGGTTTAGCCAAAACAACCTTGTTGTTTGTTCTTAGTAATTTTCCATTCACTGACCCCTACACTGCTCCTGGGCTATCAATTTCCACTTGCCCATGCTGTATTAGGAGTTGAGCCTCATCTCTCTCCCCCACGGTAAAATCCCCTTGCAGGGGTTCCTATAACTATCTGGATTGTCCTAAATAAAGTCTGCCTTACCATCTTAATCAAGTGTCATCCACTCTTTTTTTTTTTTCCTTAAGAGTAGCTCTTCAATTATAACCTTTCTCTTCATGAATTCTTTTTAAAAATTAAACCTGGGCACCTGGGTGGCTCAGATGGTTAAGTGTCTGCCTTCGGCTCAGGTCATGATCCCAGGGTCTTGGGATCGAGTCCCACATCGGGCTCCCTGCTCCTTGGGAGCCTGCTTCTCCTTCTGCCTCTCTCTCTCTCTCTCTCTGTCTCTCATGAATAAATAAATACAATCTTTAAAAAAATTAAACCTAAGCTGACTTCTTATCAGGAATAGATCAGGAACTTTGATTAATTTTAATTACAACCACTTCAGGTTTGTTTTAATTGATTTTTTTATTATTTTGGGGGCCATGGATAAGTTTGTAAAGGTCACCGAATATCATAAAAGGTAATTCCCCCAAATTATATCAGAGCTGTCAGATCTTCTATAAAATCTTTTTAAAATCCTAAACTAGTTTGCATAGATAATTTATAAATAGAAATATATTTTCTTGCATTGGGACACAGGAATTTTATGCTGTTCATAAACCTTAATCCCAGGTGCTGTGAACATGGTAGATATTAAAAAGCATGCAGTTGGCACATTTGATACTCAAGTGTAATTTGGAAAATATAATCTCTAATGCCTGTATACCTCCAATGATTTAACATTATTTCCTTACCATAACAGTGAAGTCCTCACGACAGTGGGAGATTGAAATGCTTGATTGTTCAGAAACAATCTGAACTTTGAAGAGGTTCACAGACATAATTGACGGCCCAAACTTAACCCTCGGAGCGGAGTTTTAAGTAAACTGAAGAATAGAAAATTGAGTCTGACAAATGGGACCTACATTCCCTTTAATTCCATTTACTGACTGCAGAGTTACTGAGCCTTTCCACCTCCCTATTTCTTTCTGTGTTTAATCTGTCTAAAGAAAAGAATGTCAAATTTTAATTAATAGTATACATGTAAAGCACCCAATACTGTGCCTGGAATATTTTATGTGCTTGTAAATATTGGTCTTTTTCTAAATTTTTTATTTTTGGCAGATCCAAATTAATGAAAAGAGCAACCATGTTCATAGATTGGAATACTCAATATTGTTAATATATCAATTCTCACCAAATTCATTTACAGTTTCAACCCAATCTCAATCAAAATTCCAGAAATCATTGCCCCTGAATCCCAAAGGTTAATATCTGTTAGGAATTGGGAAAAATTACCACAATAACCAATGAATCCCTATAGCATTCTTTGTATCTGATGGATAAAAGAGAGCTTTTTCTCATCTTTATCTTCTTACTCTCTTAGAAATCCTGTTTCAGGGCGCCTGGGTGGCTCAGTTGGTTAAGCGACTGCCTTTGGCTCAGGTCATGATCCTGGAGTCCTAGGATCGAGTCCCACATCAGGCTCCCTGCTCAGCAGGGAGTCTGCTTCTCCCTCTGACCCTCTTCCCTCTCGTGCTATCTCTCATTCTCTCTCACTCAAATAAATAAATAAAATCTTTAAAAAAAAAAATCCTGTTTCAGAGTAACATAGCCAAGCTGAAAGTCTCAGGTAGCATGAGTGTTAAGTCACACATATGTCAACCCCAAATATTTTTCACCTTTCTCTTTATATCTATAACACTTATCTTCTTTCCCCCTTAATTCCTTCTCTCTCTTTTTTTAAATTAAAATGTTTACTTATAGGGCACCTGGGTGGCACATTTGGTTGAGCATCTGACTCCTGGTTTTGGTGCAGGTCATGATCTTAGGGTTGTGAGATCAAGCCCCATGTTGGGCTCTATGGTCAGCATGGAGTCAGCTTGGGATTCTCTCTCCTTGTCCCTCTGTTCCTCTCCTCTGCCCGTCCAGCTCATGCTCGCTCTCTCTCTAAAATAAATAAATGAATCTTCAAAATGTTTACTTATCAACACATACATATTCGACAATCTTCTATATTCTAGTAAGAATATTACGTCCTATGGATAGAAATATGAATAAAACATAGCTCCTGCTTTTAAAGATTTTATAGTCTAGAAGATAATTTTTTTAATTTTATGAAAATTTCAAATACAAAAAAGCACAAAAAAATCACAGAAATACAGTCCCCAAATTCAACAAATTTTACATATCATTTGATTTATTTCCAGTCTTTTTATTTTACAAACAAATGAAACTTTATAAAGTTAACCATCCCTCCCCAAAAGTAACCTTCTGTCATGAATTGGTATAAATCATTGCAGTAGTTCATTTGTGATATTTTCTCACATACATGTACCCATAAGAAGGAGAAATAATTTGTGCATGTTTTTGTTCACAATGATGGCATTGCTCTGTTTACCTCACTGTTTTGGTTCTGAGCTATATCCACACAAGTTTGTTTATTTTGGAAGCTTTATGGTAATTTATTGACTAAAGCAAAACACTATCCATTTTCCTACTGAGGGATATTTAGGTTATGTCTATCTTTTGCCTTTACAAAGAAATTCTGCAGACAACATCTATGAAGCATCCCCTCACACACATATGTAAGAGTTCCTCTAAGGTATATATCCAGGAGTAGAATTGCTAGATTTTAGGATATGTACATTTTCAGTTATAATAGGTACTTCCAAATTACTGTCCAAAGTGGTTGTTCTGAATCATTTATTGAATATTATAGGGTGTGTCATCTATATGCCAGGCAGAGATTTGGGCATTGGGGATGCAGCAGTAAAAAAAAAAACAAAAATTTCTGCCCTTACAGAGTTATATTTTAGTGGACAAAAACAGTCAATGACCATAATAAGTAAATTATAGAGTATGTTAGAAGGTGATCAATGCTGTGGGGGGAAAAAATAACTCAGGAGCACCTGGGTGGCTCAGTCCGTTAAGTCCTTGACTCTTGGTTTCAGCTCAGGTCTTGATCTCAGAGCCATGAGATATTGCTCCCCCATACCCCCCACCATGGGCTCCACACTCAGTGCAGGAGTCTGCTTGAGAGTCTCTCCCTCTCCCTCTGCCCCTCCCCTCACTTGCACACACACACACTGTCAAATAAATAAATAAAATCTTTTAAAAAAATTAAAAACAGATCAGAGAAAGGAGAATGAGGAATGTTGAGAAGATGCCATTTTAGATAGGATGGAAATAGACCTCACTGAGAAGTTAACATTTTAGCCAAAACTTGAAAGCTATCTGCTTTAAGTATTCCAGCAGCTGGAAGAGCCCATGTACAGCAGATGTGGGCCCAGTCTGTTTGAGCAACCCCAGGGAGGCCAGTGTGTCTGCAGCAGTGGGAGCCGCAGGGATGACTAGTAGGAAAACAGGTTGACTATAGGGGCCGGGTTATACTGGACCACATTCGTAGGCCATTGTGAGGACTTTGACTTTCACGTAGCATGAAGTGGGAGCCATTGGAGGGTTTTAAGCAGAGGACTGGCATGATTTGTCTTATGTTTTAAAAGTGTATCCCTCTGGCTGCAGTGTTAAAAATATGTCCTAAAAGGTGAAAGATGAAAGCAAAAGAGTCAAGGATGACTCACAGATGTTGGCCTGAGCAGCCATAAAGACGGAACTGCCATCCACGGAGGGGCAGCCAACGGCGGGACCAGCACGTTGTTGGGGAGAATCAAGAGTTGGTTTCGAAAATGTGTTTGAGATGTCTACTCAGTGCTTCTCAGACTGCTGGAGGCTACTTAATTTGCTTGTGTTTCCATTTCTCTAACCGGCTGATACTTCCATAATACACAGCACAAATAAGTTGCTAGAAAATGAAATAAAGACATTTAAAATATAAACTTC